CAGGAATGTGAGCTTCCCTTTCAAGTCCAAAATCAAAGTATTGACAAACAGTAAGAGAAGAATGTGAGTTTTGAGGTTGTATCTTCCTTCAAAACAAGAAAACTGTCTACCTCCAAGGCTTTTCCCAACATAGTTTTATTCTTTTTACAAATTTGTTTGAATTATTTTCCTTCCCTCTTCTCCATACAGGAAATAAGCCTACGGCTCTCTCATACTTTAATATACTTGTAATGCTATCTGTACAGAAACATTTCAGTCTCTTTGTACTCAGTACTTCATTCCTCAGCCATGTCTTTTCAAGAACTGGCAGCCTGCAGGACAGCTTTAAAAATAATTCATTTCACATTGCAGCAATCCTGTATACTGGAGTTGTCTTGAACCTCTTCTGCTTTCTTCTTGGTGCCACACTGTGTACAGTGATCTTATTTCTGTCTTGTCGCAGGTGTTCGGTTTGCTTGCAGGGCAGCAGAAACTATTCTATGGTTTGCAGCGTGGGTGAGGAGATGGGGTCGGCATGCACAGCAAAACAACCCGTGGAATTTCTGAACAGACCCATTGCTCATGTGATCACTTCTGATTTGCTGGGGACTGAAATAAGATCAACCTTCTGTTTTTTTATTTCTATGTTCTTGTTTTTCTATTGTTGATGTTTTTAAATAACAATTGTTCTGATTTTACAATGTAATTAACAAGTGCAACTGTTTTGCAAAGTTTTGGCTTCCTGAAGAGGGAGCTTCCCCTTTGTAATCTGCTTTTCAAAATGTGCCAAGTCATTCCCTGGGCAAGTTTTTGTTTCAGTTTCCACTTACTTTTCTGATGCTGGATTTCCATAAAACAGGAGAGTTTCGATTTTCAAAGTCATGTCTGTTGCTTTAATTTTTTCTTTTTAATTCTTTTTCCCCTACAAATGCTAAGAAAAGAGTTATTTTACACTGCTCATGACACAGCCTTGTCGTATGAGAGAAAGAGGCTGGTCATGGCAAGTGTGCAAAGTGCAGAGCATAAAGATACCAGAACTACATTTCAGCAAGCAGCTAAGGCCGTAGCAGTCATCTTGCTTATCAGCATGAGACTCTTCATGAACTTTCCTTCTGAGAATGAAAGGTGAGAGTGAAAGGTGGAACAGTGCTAATAACATAACCTGCTTGGTATGATTTTGCTGTGCAGCCCTAGTTTGAAAATGAGGCCAAAACTGGGAGGCAATAGAAAGCTGGGTGCATTACCGTGGGTTGGCAGAACTAAATCACTTTTGGTCCCTGGTCTGGGTAGTTTAAGTTTGATCAGATAGCTCTATGCTGCACTGCTGACTGCAGTGCAGACACATATGCACTCCTTTGGAAAGCCCAGCTGCACAATATAATCAGTCCTCTTATTTGATGGTCAGTGTTCCAGTTAAGAAAAAAAATTATGATGCATGCTAACCACTAGATTTAATGGCAGTCTGGGTTCAGCCTTGCAGATGTCTCCTGAGGAGAGTATGACTCATTGCTCAGGGGCTTTTTTTTTTTCGACCATCCTCATTAGACTAAGGTTGGGGAATTCTAGCATGATGAAAGAAAAAGTTTTCATTCTATTTCACTGCCACTAATTTATCAGTTTTGATGGCTCCATTTTAAGATCTGCCTAGTTCAGAACAGTTATGTTAACTGACCCACCAAAGCCCTGAGAGGTGGACAACCTTTGTTTCTGGTGGCCAGCTGCCTCACTCTGAGAGATAAAGCCAGAAGCCAAGAAAAGACAAAGTTCAAGTCAAGCACCTGCCAACATACCTTTAAGCTACATTTATGCCTTCCTGGGTGGAACATGGTACAGGGAGCATCCTGTCTGCCAGGGCTTGTGAGAGTATGGAGCTTTTCTTCCTCCCTGTCTTGGCTGTGCTTCTACAGAACTGCAACCTAGGAAAGATGCCACAGCCTACACTACTGCCATGCTGCTTTTCTGAAAGGTAGACATTTTATTCTCCTATATCCTTTTCAACCCTGACCATTCTATGATTCTACGATTCTACAATTCTATATGTGGAGCCTGGCCAAAACATGGCAGTGAGCAACACGCTATTGCAGCTTGTCAGATCTGTCCACCGATAGCACCCACACAAGTAATTTACACAGTGCTATGCCTTAATCAGTCCATAGGTGCAAAAGTCTGGTAGGTGGCTATTAAACCATCCAGCTACAGCAGCCTGAAGGTTTTCCTTTGAAACGCAGCACAGTGTGGGGAATTTGGCAGTAAAGTAGTGGCAAGCTGATTGATTAGACACTTAGAAAATGCACAAAGGTTAGATGCAAGAGGCTCCAAAGTGGGGCAGAAGGTTTTTCTGAGCACTTAGCATCTGTGTGGTGCTTGAGACCTGGAGAAGAGCTGTACAACCTAAACAAGGTCTGCACTAGGCAACAAAACATGCTGTGTGTCCTTCAGACCTTCCCCAGGTCAAGTCTATGAAAGGCTCAAAGTTTTTTAAGCTAATCTAAGTCCTGTCTTTCCTTTCAGACTCCTGCTTAATTCCATACATGGATTTCTAGCTGTTTTCAAGGGCCACACACTGCTCTCCCAGGCAACTCACTTTTAGCATCATGACCTTTTGGAGCAGCCACCCATGACTGTGGGTGCTCAGTGTTGCTCAGGGGCTGATTGCCAGCAGCTGGTACCCTGCTGACAGACCTGCCTTGCCCTTTCCACACCTCCAGGGCCAGGTGTCAGCAATTGGACCCTGCCCCACTCGCTGCCACACCCTGGCTGGCAGCAAGCCCAGGCAGGTCTCTTCATGTTTTGGCTGAGTCTTGATACTGGCTGGAGATTCTCTCTAGGGAACCGATAGCAGAACCAAAGAAGAAAGTTATCCTGCTTAATGCATGACTTGGAAAATCAAACCCTTCCACTGGTCTCTCCTCTTCTGTTGAAAGGTTTTGTGAGGCTGAATAAATGAGTGTGGGAGTGAGAAAGGCCTCACTGCAAAGCAGCCCAGCACCACTGGTGCTTTGAATTTAGGAGCTGAGCCCTCTGCGCTCTGTGATGGAAGAAAGGTAAGGTGGGTTTTTTTCAGGAGAGTGATCTCCTTTTTGGTGATTTACCGACCTGAGTTAAAGAAGACCTAAAAACGACATCTATAGGTTACATGATAAGAAGGAAAGAGAAAAGTCATGCACTACGTGGATTTTTTATAATGACAATGATGTTTTCATTGTATCAGTTCCTGCATTGGAAAAGTTAGTTTTGCACGTTTGCATATGGAGACTTCATAGCTTGTGTAGGCTGCCTTCCAAAAACTGTTGTTCTACTGTGCTGCTTCAGGTCCTGCTTCTTTGAAGGGATTTAACATTAGAAAAGGTTTGCAATCATTACAGAGAACATGGGAAACAGTAATTTTTACTTAGCACTGGGAGTTTTTGCATAGAAAACTTGCACATATGTACGCACATATAAATACACACATATACAAAATGCGCTATACACACGCACACAGGTGCTTTTATACAAGAGAGAAATCCCGTTTACAACTGAGTAGAATTTAATTATGCAGCAACACCTATATTCAAAATTAATCAGGTGTGTAACTTTTTTTTTGTTCAAGTATTCTTCTTGGTACACTTCATAGATTCTTAAAACCAGTATTCACTCTGAAAAATGCAACATGTGAGCAAAACTTTATATTGATTAAGTAATGCAGGACCATATACTTATACTAAACCTTTTCTTCACGTAATGATTATTTCTTCTTTCTGCTTGTAGTGAATCCTGTAGCTGGACTCCTATATTGTACCCTTTAGTAAACAAGACATGAAACTTCTCTTTCAGTTCTTAACAACCAAAAAAAAAACTAAAGCTTTTTTCAAGGAAAGATACCATTATAAAAATCACAATTGTTCCTTGCTCATAATTATAACTTCCTTGAATCAGTCAGAACTGCTAATGAAAATAGCATTTAAAAGCTTTAATATTTATATTATCAGAAAAATACAAATTCAGTCAGAAATAATTTTCTAATGACTCTGTGCTATGTCTCTTCCAAACTACCAGAACAGGTTTTGGTTAACTCAGTACTATCATTGTAAGAGTTTCTACCTTCCAGACTGCAGGTTTTGCTTTGCTCAGTGTCATCATTATAAGACTGTCCCACTTCCTGACAGCTGGAAACAGCTGCCTTCAGTTTTTCCTCAATTTTAGCAGCTGTAGTGCACATTTTAAGCTCTCTCAGGCTGCTTATTAGGGTTCCATATCCTCCTTTTATGCCATGTCTTTGATACCAGGCTTGAAACAGCTTAATCTTCTGTTCAGATGTATCATTAACATAATCCCGAAGAGTTTGATCTATGACGGGTTCTGGTACTTTGTGGCTGCGAACAAATGTCTTGACTTCTTGGAGTGTCATCTCCTCCACAATACCAGCAATGTGGCTGCTCAGGTCAACATCTAGAAGTGTAAAAGGAAATTAATGCTCTTGGCATTTAAGTCTTATTGTTTTTTTATCACCTGTTCTCAGAGTTGATACTTTTCCTATCCAAAACTGATTAAGTTTCAGGTATACCTGACTCAATATGTTTTATATGCAATTTTTTACAATTTATAGAGGATCTGCTTTTGTAAGTTCCTACCAAATGCTACGGAATTCAAATATTATAGATCCATATTGCTTTCTACCACTTGAAATAGAATCTCAGTTCTCTCTGTAAGAGATTCTGCCCTTCTCTGTCATTAAAGTCTGGTCATGCTTCATGTACCCGTTTTGCCCAAAATAGCGTTGGGAAGGGTCTTGGAACGGGACAGATCTTTTGTTGTGATACAGCCTTGGATCTTATGTTCTGTTCCTACTGTGTGTTCCTACTGCGGATTTGCCCTTGAACATAAGGTAGGTTTGTGTTTCTGCGATCCCACTGCTAGGTGTAGGACTACTGTATTATCATAATTATCCATGATTCTAGAAATTCAGCTTGCTGCCTCCTAGTGTCTGTACCACATGCAGAACAGAAATTCACCTGTTGTCAATTAGTAATTGCTCCTTATACAGCAGAAATTCCTCCTGAGGAAAAACTTTCACGATACCTCTAAATGCCTTAATAAGCACAACATGAACTGGCATTTCTTTAATAAGTGTTCACTGTTGGGCTAGAATGACAGCTCCAGGCAGTGGCAAAGTCTATACAAAAATATACTTTTTTTTAGTGTAGGATTTACATGTCTATATATTTTTTTCTCCTACTGAATTTCGAGAAACTACTTGTCTCTTACCTGTGTTTATGAGCGGTACATTCTCCTGAAAAGACAAACGAGAGAAATTAGTAGAAACAAGTTTTGTATAACACCAACCTTGTATAAGAGGGTAAACACATTTCATGACACTTGGCTTCTATAATTTTCTTTTCGTTTTCACCACAATTCCCCTGTTCTGCGAGTGAGGGAAACATATTAGACAGACAGACCTCTTTTGACTTGGGTAAGCTTGGGAAATCACAATTGCTATTGCCTAAAAGTATGCACGGGGACAGGTACACTGGGTCAGTGGAGGTCTGATGATTTATGAAGTTTTGATCTTGGGTTTGTAACTTAGGAAGCACATCAACAAATCCTGAAGAAATAATACAGGGTTTCTCTTACTTCTCCCAAAAGAGTCCTTATGCTGAAATTTACTTCATTAATGTCATAGAAGAGAGGCATGCACGTGCTTGGGGAGTTCCAGCGTAATTTAAGTGGAACAAAGTTCCTTACATTAAGCTGAGTTTTTTGCATTTTAAGCAACAATACTTACATAAGAAGCCTCTGGTTTGGAGACTACTTCAACCAGGTTCTGATTGCTAGTGAGACCCTTCTGTTTTCTCTTGTCTGAAACAAAATAAAGCATTTTTTAAATCCAGGATAGAGTGTATCCCTCATCTGGACTCCAAGAATACAAAATGACATCTGAGTAAGCAGCTGAGTATGATAGGATAAGGAACAGGGAATCACTTACACCAGAATATTGCTCCAGCTATTCCTAATAGTGCTAACACCATTATCAAAACAATGGCCCACCATGGCACTCCTGTTGGAAGATTGGAAACATTATGTGAAAGTTAAGTCAAGAAAAAAAATACAGCAACACACTCTACATTTTAAACAAGATTGCATCAGACTATAAAAGCCCTTCTGTTGTCTCCTAAAGGCAGAAGCTACCCCTTTGTTCAAGTCTTACCTATCATGGGTCACCCCTAAAAAGGAGTAATAGCTCATACATCTGCACAGTGATCAAGGGAAAAGAGCAATTGTGCTCCGCAGGTCAGTACGGGGCCCAGGAGATATGATGGCCTTAGCTGTCAAGAATCACTGTGGGCCATTGTGTAGAACAGTACAATTGCATTAGCCTCTCAAAATACAGCAGATGCTAGACCGTGATAGGTTTTAAAATGGTACCTTTCATTCCACACACAGTGTCTGAAGTTGAAGTACATTGTTTTTCAATTATGCCACTTTCACATCTGCAGAAAACATGAACAAAAATTATAGGATTTGTTTCTGTCTTTATAAACTCTGTCAAGAGAGCAAGTAAAAATCTTCTAACACCTTTTATCAGCAAAATGTTTCATATATGAAGATGTTGGAGTTTGGAACTCAGTAGGTATGAAAATGGTACATAAAGGTATGGGAGTGGAAAAAAGTGTGGAAATAATTTTCTAGAAGTGACAGTAGATCACACAGACAAAAGGAAAGCTCAGATATTTCATCACATTTTTTGAAAAGTATATACAGACTTGGTGGATGTATACAAGTTTTTCTGCATGCCTTGGGAAAGCCTACATGGATGCAAGTTAAGTTGATTGAGCTAAGTCAGCTCAACAAGCTAAGTGCAAAGGAAAACTCCTATGTTTTCCCTCAGGTTATACATTACCTTAGCCACTGTCTTGAAACTAGTTGGAAAAAAGTGTGATAACATATGATATTAACAATTTCACATTTAATGATGAAGGTGTAAACTTACATGGTACATGGATCACAGTGCCTACATGGTACAGAAGAATTGCAAAAATGGTTCTTTGCACAGGTGCACTCCGTATTCTGTGCTGGGGTACAGTTCTGTGCAACCTCCAAACCTAAAATAAATTTCTTAAAGTTTGTTACATTGAAAAAGTACACCTTAAAAGCAGGCCTCTGCTCACAAGCTCTTGTCCTCAGGCTTACGTGCTTTTCACTCTACTACTGCTGGCACTTATGAGGCTTAATTGTAAGAACAACATAGTTTTTATAAGGAGCCCTGCTGCGAGAGGACTGGAAACATGGAGATGGCAAAGAGACCTCTGCTGGCCAAGAGCTCAAAAAACTGATCACACAATAAAGTACGTGCTAGAAGAGGACTCATTTGGCACTGCTTCTTTTTTCCCATTCAGAAGTGTAAAGCCAGACAGAAAGCTTAGAAGATAATGTAGCCGATCTCCCTGCTTGATGTCAGAGGCAGGTTCTTTACAGACAACAAGTTTTATCTCTTCTTGAGGACCACCAATGGGGAGGAATTTCACTTTCTCTTTTTAGCTAACATATTCCCTGCTGAAGTATCAAAACAAGTGAATTAATTTTCTCCTATCATCAGTGTGTACGATGAAGCTGTTTATGAAAAATTAGTTCTGCACACCTATCTACCTACTATGAAATCTATTTTCATAGGCATATGGGAATAGAAGCGACTTTTTGAGTTACCATATTCAGTACCCTGCTGTAATGGGAAAAAATGTTATATTTCAAAATTTGATGAAGTTCTACTGTGAAACCAGTGCTGAAGCCATTCGTGGAAATGTCAAACATGAATGATCCTAAGAATGGTTCTCATGGAACTTCAGTGGTATTTTTTTCTCCTGCGTACTGTTTTCTACTGACTTCTCTTCAACTACATTACTGTCCATGGGATAATGTGACTCGTCATCCCATTACCCTTTCTTTTCCCTTCAGTTTAACTAATAGTTTTTTTGTGGTACTGTACAAAATACTGAAGTGCTTTGCTGTACTCAACTTCAATACCCATCCAAAGATCCTTATTATAGTAGCTAATGAAAGGAAAATTTCCTATGCATGTGCTGTTGTTACAGGAAGGGGAAAGCACTAAAGATTGATATTCCAGCAGGTGATCTGAGTACAACTCTATTGGAATTAAGAGCTGCCTCTCTGCTTACTGAACTTGATTTTGGATATGAGGAATGCAGAACTATCATTCTCTAAATCCAGGTATACTAGAACTACAGGACACCGGTGGAAATGATAGGAGATCAGTTTAATGAATTTAAAAACAAAAATCTATGATGGGTATTTATGAAACTTCTGGAACCTGGTGTTCCCCTGCAGGTTTATACAGAAAGGGCTCATAAATGGATATTAAAATGACTAGGTAGTGATGGAGCTTCTAATGTCCTTTCCCACAACTGTGGATGCTTGTAGACTTTTCAGGGAACAGGCTACAGAAAGTAGACAGGTTTGTTTATGTTTTCTCTAAATAGCATTTCTTGCCTCCGCTGCTGAACGCAGAATACTGAGGTAGGTGGACTGCTAGTCTGACACAGTAGGACATGCTTTGTAGTCTCATAATTTGATCCTATATCCCACACAGCATCTTGCATGTATACAAGACATCACTCTTACCAGCTCCAGCAACTTTAAAGTATCATAGAATCATAGAACGGTTTGGGTTGGAAAGGACCTTAAAGATCATCTAGTTCCAACCCCCCTGCCATGGGCAGGGACACCCTCCACTAGCCCAGGTTGCTCAAAGCCTCATCCAGCCTGGCCTTGAACACCTCCAGGGATGAGACATCCACAGCTTCTCTGGGCAACCTGTTCCAGTGTCTCACCAACCTCACAGTAAAAAGTTTCTTCCAAATATCTGATCTAAATCTACTCTCTTTCAGCTTAAAACCACTACCCCTCGTCCTATCACTACACTCCCTAATAAAGAGTGCCTCCCCATCTCTCCTTAGGCCACTTTTAGGTATTGAAAGTCTGCTATAAGGTCTCCCTGGAGCCTTCTCTTCTTCAGGCTGAACAACCCCAGCTCTCTCAGCCTGTCCTCATAGAAGAGGTGTTCCAGACCTCTGATCATTTTTGTGGCTCTCCTCTGGACTCACTCCAACAGGTCCATGTCCTTCTTGTGCTGAGGACTCCAGAGGTGGATGCAGTACTCCAGGTGGAGTCTCACCAGAGAGGAGTAGAAGGGGGAGAATCACCTCCCTCGACCTGTTGGTCACGCTTCTTGTGATGCAACCCAGGACATAGTTGGCTTTCTGGGCTGCAAGTGCACATTGCTGGGTCATGTTAAGCTTCTCAATAATATTATTAATTACATGAAAGGCTATGGAAGAAACCATTGGGAATTCTCCCATGCCTGCTTCTTACAACACCCCTCTTCTTTTAAATAGAGGGCAAAGAAGAGAGAGAGCTTTTCTTCCTTAAGTCTAACCAGTTTGTACAGGGCCTGCTTTGCAAGGACTGTTTTGTCTGAGCAAAGGCAGACATAAGGAGATATAATGGACCAACATAGCTTGTTCTTCTCCCTACTTTGTGCTTGACAAAGGAGAACTGGAGGATAAACTGCTGACTTTGTCATAAATTCCTTCATTTACTAACACTAAAACATTTTAATCTGCATGCTACCCACTATTCAGGGATTGTGGATACTTTTCAGTCATATCTTGTATCAAAAAAGAGTCACTGGTAGAGTTACTTGTTCTATAGACATACCAAATATGCTGTCACACGAAGAGCATCTCAAACACTTGTCCAAATCATTAGCATGATCTATGTACTCCTTTCCGTTTTCACATGGAACACAGTGTTTGCTAGTATCTGTTGGACAGCCAATATTTTTAACAAAACCTGTAGAGACAGAAAAACAAGAGCTAAGATTTGCAATACCTTTGGACAGAAGCCATCACCTCTAAGACCTATGTCCGACTTTCTTTTTAATCCCTAATGCTTTTTGATTTACAAATATGGAAAGAATCTATGTTCTTTACACATACGTATATGCTCTTCAGGAATGTAGTATATGTATGATCTGACTATCCTTTCTCTTTGTCCTGGTGTCAGCTGGGATGGAGTTAACTTTCTTCATAGTAGCTAGTGTGAGGCTATGTTTTGTATTTGTGCTGAGAAGAAGTCTGATCATGTACTGATGTTTATAGACGCTGCCAGGATACTCAAGGACTTTTCAGCTTCTCTGCTGTGCCAGCGTCTGCAAGTGCAGGAGAAGCTGGGAGGGAGCATAGCCCCAATTACTAGCCTAGGATTTGACCTCAGGTTTAGGATTGAGACCCAAATTGGCCAATGGTACGTTCCATATAATGCATGTCATGCCCAGCATACAGATGGGAATCTCTCCAGAACTTCTCTCTCTCTCTCTCTCTCTCTCTCTCTAGGTCACCCCTCTCTTTTGGGGTCGTCCCACTCCCTCGGTTGGCTCTTAGTCTCAGATGCTTGAGCTCTTATCTCTTTTATGAGATTGGGGTTTTGGGACTCTTCCTGCTCTGGGATTATTAGCCAGGAACAGGCTGAGCCTTGGTCATCGGGTGGTGAGCAGTTTCACTGTGTATCACTCATTTGTATATTTGTATATATTACTATTATCAGTATTCTTTTCAATTTTATTGTAGTCTAGTTATTAAATTGTTCTTATCTCAACCCGCAAGTCTCTTTTCCCTTTACCCCTTTAATTCTCTCCCCCATCCAGGCTGGATGAGGCTTTGAGCAACCTGGTCTAGTGGAGGGTGTCCCTGCCCATGGCAGGGGGGTTGGAACTTGATGACCTTTAAGGTCCTTTCCAACCCCAGCCATTCTATGATTCTATGCAAAATTGTAAAACCCATGAATATAGGGAGTCTCATAGGGAAAAGCCTGTGCTTGCACTTTTTTAACCTCTTTCAAAGATGTGTATGTAACTCTTATCTCTTTTGTGACAAGTACGTTACGTGAGAACTACTGTCATTAGTGAAAAGTTATTGTCACACGGAGCTCAATAAATACTTTTGAAGTGTCTCCTGTCCTGTAACAGAGAAAGATACAGCTAGAACGAAGCATTGCATCCAGGAAACCAGCTGTCTCAGAAGAAAGCAGTTGTGCATATTGTGGTCTACACTCTTAATGACTTTTCAACAGTCTTACGATGATACTTACCACGTTCACATTTCTTGCAACACTTATCACCTAAATTGTATTCATCCAGGTTACAATTAATTTCCCTCTTAGCAATGATCCTCCTTGTGATTAATTTATTGTATTCTGTGTGTATTAGAGCTTCAGTATAATTTTTGCACTGTGTTTCAATAATTAAGACAACCACCTAGGAGAGAAGAACAGCAAGTTATACCAAAAAACTTGCCAAGGACTGTAGGTGTGTTTTACTACTAGCACAGAGTTACATCAGTACCATTACTCTACAGCTAAACATATTTATTTTCACTTCTTTATTACAGTTCTTCATTACTTCACAAGAGTTAATGGACGATGAGACACACATCAGATTTAATGCTATGAACCCTACTACTATAGGTAATGATCATTTGAGCATTAACGCTTGAGAACAGGCCCACACATCTGAGTTGTAACAGATGACCACATATGCCTTATTACAGTGCAAAGCAAAGGAACTCCTGTTATTTTCTTAAAGAGCTTTCTCTGCCTCAGGTCACTGTACCTAAATCTGCCCTTTCTTAGCCAGTAATAATAATCTTCCATAGAGAAATTCCTTAGTTCAATTGATATCTTTCTTAATTTCCTGCCCCACCCTACTGTTACTTGCAAATTGAACAGTGTTAATGCATCTCTGAAGGATAAAAAAAAAAAAAAGGAATGTTTTAATCTCAGCCAAAAATACCTGATTTCTAAAATGATCCTGCTCTCACTGTTTTCCAATTCAATTATTCTTGTCCTTAGTAGATTGTGTTTATATATTCCTTAAAGAAGCATCACTCTCCTTTAAAATTAATTTACACCTTGATCCATTTCTTTGAATGCACTGTCAAGTTAAATTGCATAGTGCTTGTTTTTTTAATTTTTTTTTCCTGTTACCAGTCAGTATTAACTCTACTAGCTGTCACTATCCTGCTTGTTTTCATGATAATAAGAAAGCGCGGTGGTATAGTTTGCCTTCTTCTTGGCAATGGTTTGTGGGGAATTCTGTATATACTTTGCATGCACCAAGTATGAGATGTCTATATAATTCAAGCTGTTGAATGCTTGTTGGCTGGACAACTAGATTCCCTTCTAGAAATACTATTATGCAGGACAGTTTGAAGACACCCTGCCTTTTCTTAACCCAGCTTCTGCTGATAGTTTGGAGTGATTTGAACATTTTCACAGTTTATTTTACTTGTGTTACTATCCATGTGTGGAGCTGTAAGAGAAAAAATTAAGATAGTCCTTTTATTGAAGAGTTTGAAGTCTTAACATCTAAGCTGAGCTCTACATTCACTGTTCTTGCTTCTCTTTAATTAAACAAATATTGTTTCGTATTCTACAAAAGACTTGGAGATACACACTGTGAGGGATACTGAGGAAGGGGAAAAAAATCATACCTGGGAAGAAACAGAGCAATACTATTGTCCTTGGCAAAATGAAGGAACAGGCCAAGTTGTGAAAGAGAGGGATGGCAGGGTACCTTCTTCAGAAAGGAGATTAGTGGGGAAAGAGGTGAAACACAAAGAAACTGACAAATCCCCATACCAATGGTGCACTTCTTGGACTGAAAGTCCTGCTGATCAGTTTCACCCATATCAGCATGCAAAACACCTTGACTAGAATAATTTGGTTTTAGTTTTGTCTTGGATATTTGAAAGCAGTTAATTCTGAATGGTTGGTTATCTTTAACACTTTTGAATTGCAGCTTAATACAAATTTGACTGTATCTGTTAATGCCAACAACAAGGGATGCACATATTTGAGGAATTCTCTAATATTTTAAGGACTGGTTATTTTTATTGTTACGCTTTTAATTTCTTTTTTTCCTGCCAGAAGGCAATATTTAATGTCTGATTAACTTAGTCTTCATGATTTTGTGTGAAACTGCTTGGATGCTGACTGTAATTTTAGTTAGATCATAAAACTCTTTAATGATCTTAAATATTAACTGACTGAAAAATGGGTTTGGGTTTCAAACTGGGCTCTCAAGTGAAGGAAGTGTTATCGGTGGCTAATTAATTGAAGTAACCAGTATGACCACTGTCTGCCGACTTTTACAAATAGCCTCTTCTTTTGATCTTCTAGTCTATTCAGAGATGGGAGGGTGAAAAGCATTTTCTTTCCTTAGCAGCCATCTTGGTTTAAAATTTATCTAATATTAGTTCCTAGACTGAAATTAAGAAGGCCTTTCTTTGCACCTCTAGAGAAGAAGCTTCAGCTGCTAAAAAAGTGGTTTTGCACTTGGGAAGCTGTGGGTATGGATGCTCAGTCTGTCACTTCCCCCATCCAGCGCTCCGACCCTCTTCCTTTGCTGCCAAAGTTTTGAGAGTGCTCTTCTCTGATTCCTGGTGTAATGATGTTAAAAGTTTAAAGTTAATGTAAGGTCTTAACAGAAGCTGTCAAATGGATGTGCCAACTTAGTGTGATTTGTCTTCCTTTTGCCTGGGGGAGCTATCATACTGAAAACTGGGATAGAAAATCTGATTGACTACTACCTAGTAGTTATCTTTTAGAGGTGTGTGTCCATCTGGTTTGGCTTTTCCCTGAAGCAGGGCAAAGCCCCACACCTCCATCTCTCCTCTGCCATGCGTTGGACTGAGTCGAGGGAGGTGATGGTCACAGGACAACACTGAGGGGATGTGTTTCATCCCTGCCTGCCATGAGGCCCTGGCCAGCAGAAGGGTTCAGAAGCGATGCAGTGACCAGGGCAGGGGGGGCCCTGAGGCAGCACAATGTATCTTTGGGAGTCCCAGGAAAGCTAGAGGCACCCAAGGGCCAGCCCTGAAGGTGGGTGGTGTGGCTGGGTCATGTGGTGGGCCAATGCCAGCAGCGCTCATGGCATGAGGAAGCTGGTGGAGAAATGACTCTTTCATCTTCCTGTGCTGATGGAGGAACAGTGACTCAGCAGGGTGAGCAAGGAGCGTGGCACCTGCCCTGCCGCCCGCTCCCTGCTGCGCTCCAACACCACAGCCGATGCTTGAATGCCACAGCCCACTCTCTAAGGAACCTGCCCCGGCTCCGTGGTGCCCATTTGCGACGAGGGCCCGGTGCCCACCTCCCTCGCCTGCCCTCACAGCTGTGCCTGGCGAAGCTCTGCACCCACAGGGATGCTCTGCATCCTGCTTTCTGCACTCAACTCTCCTCTTTTTAGACCAGAGAAGTCAAGCCATTTTTGGAAGGAAAAAAAGATGCTGGACAACAGTAAAGAGAAGAGGGAGGTTGCAGATGACCACAGCAACAACACACTCACACACAGTACCTGGGCACAGCAGAGGAACCGAAGGGCACTGGCGAAGCACAGAGCATGCACAGAGCACACACAGAGACAGAAAACGTGCAGAGAGTCGTTCAGAAAATGGGATATAATGAAAGAATGAAACATCTTTCTAAATATCAGTGAAAGGCAGCTGAGTTTCTTTTTGTGTTTACCGAATGCCTGAAAACACAGTGCGTGCACAGACACAGCCCTGCCTCACGTGAACAGATCTCTCTGTCTCTTGCTTGGGCTTTTATACAAACAAGCTATGCTGATAGAGTGAGAGGGGGACAGAAATACAACACTTTTTGATGGAAGCCCTTTGCTGTCACTCATGGAGATGAACTTCCTGGTACACTTACAAGAAGTGGGGATCACTTCTCAGAATTTGACGTTTAAGCAGCACCTACATTGGTGCTGCTCGCAGGGACATCTTACACTGCCTTCCTGTACAAGGAATAGTGAGAAAACTGTGCAGATTTTACAGCTTTTAAAGCAACACCCTACCTTTTACAAACTTCTTTTCTCCTCCTGGATTTGCACCCTCTTAAAAGCAATCCATCTGCTACAGAGAAATTTTGGTATGTCTTATAGGAAAAAAGCGCTAGTAGTCATTTAGTTTCCTGTGCACACCTTTATTGCTTTCCTTGTGACTGAGCAGTGAGTGCTAATAGCGGAAAGGAAGCACGTCAGGGGCTTTCACAGAGGCAGGGATGATAGGTGCTTTTTTTATGATGTGTATGTTCAAACAGCAGCTGTATGTTCTCAACCTAAAATTACTCACAGGGGCTCTCTTCTACCTTTCTCATCTTAACCTAAAAATCAGTTGTCATATCTCAACTGAAGACTATAGGTTGAACTGAGCAGTCAATGGGAATAAAGTCAATCAATCAGGGACATCTAACCTTAGCAGAATCCATAAAAATTATCATGAGCCCAATTTTTTTTTTTTGTTTATCTCCTTTTGTGTTGCCCAGACATTTACAAGACCTTTCTACCTCCCTCTCCTTCATTCCTACAGAGTCCTCCAAAATGCTTTCACCAACAGGCATCTGCTAAGGAGACTCAGAAAATCCGTCTTCATCTCTGCTCCCAATGCAGAGTGACAGGAGCTTTAGTTTCTTTTAAAACCTGTGTGATTTTTGGGATTCTCAGGCCTCCAATTCTTACTGTATTGGATTATTCTTCATAACAGGCCAGCTTCCTTCAACTGAAAAGTTTCAGCCCACCTACCTCATGGGGATGTAATCTCAGCTTTGAAAGTGTGTGAACATGTTATTTGCATACAGGACTTTTACAGCTTTTTAACCCCAAGAAAAAAATTATCTCTGCTTTCTCCTGTTATTTTTATAATACACTTTATGCTTTGCAAACCACTTCTCCCATTTCTAATCCATAGATGCCTATGGATGAGAAGGCTGATGCCTTCAGAATTGGTGGCCTTTCTTTTTTCCACTCCGCATTTGCTATGTGGGGTAATGTGCATGAGCTCATCAGGGGCTTTCTAAGTGTTAAAAACAAGTGGAGAGGAGTGAAATTTTTTTTGCTTAGTGGGAGCTGAGAAAATCTTTAACTCATTTTCTGAGTTTGGGTTTGCTTCTAGTACTTTTCACAAATGGTTGCTAGAGTTAGCTGCATTTTAATAGTTTTCTATGCAGTTAATCTCTCTTGTGTTAACCCTGTCAGGATGGCTTTTTCAAATGGTAAGTAATTACACACTGCTTGTTAAGAGGATTCTCTACTCCAGTTCTTTTACAATGATAAGTAATTTCTGCTTCCAGTATCTCCAGTATCATTTTCCCCCACCTCTTTTTTTCCCCACCAAGGCAGATGTTGATAGTTGGCACCAAAATAATCACTAAAAATAGTATTTCTTGTTTTAAAATCTTTCATGAGAAGGACAAAAA